TGTTCTGTTGACAGAACAGACTGGCAGCGGATGAGGTTCTGGTAGGGAGTTCTGTTGATTTAGCCTCAGAGAAGCAAAGGCAGTAGGCCTTCTGTTAACTCGTAGGACAAATTCTGCTGAACACAGATACCAAGTCTGAGGAGTTAGACAGTTCTATCTAAGTGCAAAAAATTAAAGCAGTAAGTAAATGACACCAGGGATTTTTATAGTGGTTCAAGGAACAACTTGTTCCTCTAATCCACTGTTCCACTAAGATGTAAGGACTTCCGTTTACAATGCCTTAGCCCTATCACTTAAGAAGCTCTCCACGTCTTCTTCAAGTGTAGATGTCTCCTGGGATGCACTACCTGGCTTCCTTTAAGACTGGTCCTTTCACTGAAAGTATCACCACTTCACTACTCCAGTTACTTGGACGTCCTTCTTGTAGCAAGAAGAGTTTCTGTTAACACAGGGGTTCCTCCAACTAGCTTCATTACAAAGTATTTGTAAGTGATGAGCTTGAAGAGTTGAAGAACACTTGGAACTTTGCTTGGGTTGGAAAAAGTATTTTTCCAACTTCTGCCTTCTCTTGTAGAAGATGATGAAGTGTTAATCTCAAGGAGGCTTTTTGCTTTTCAGAGTTTGAATTTCTTGTATGAAGAGTTGTAGCAATGGTTAGCAAAAATTGCAAAGTTATCCGGTTGTTCTTCGTAGTGTATCTTTTATACTGAGGTTGTCTTCCCGTTGGAGGAGTAGGAGGACAACTGCATTAAATGAGCGATCAGTTGACTTGACCAGTAGAGCCCGGTAAAGTTGGCGGGTTACTATTTTGGGATAAAGTATTCCTGACATTGCGGCCAATCATCTGCAATTACTCTACGGAGCATGGGGAGCATTAAATGAGCATTTAATGCGCGTACTGTAGCTTTTCCGTTCACTACTCCTAGCCGTTGAAGGAATCTTTCAGTTGATTTCCCGGTTTTGTGGAATTCTTCTAAGTGTCAGACCTTCTGGTGTCTTTAACTGAGAGTTGAACAGAGGAGGTCTGGAGCACTTCTGTTGAGAATATATCCAACAGAGAACCAGGAGGGTTTCTGTCAGAGTAAAGGCTAACAGAGACCCGGAGGTCTTATGTTCTGAAGCAGAGAACCAAAGGTCCTCTGGTCAATAACGCCTTAGAAGGGTCTTCTGCTCTTGGAGCCCTTCTGCTCAGAAGGTCTTCTGCTCTGAAGGCATTCTGCCAAGTCGATTACACTAAGACTTTACAAATGAAAATTCTAATACATTAAGTCTAAATAGGGGTACTCTAAAGTCCTAATTAATCTAGCATCATCAAATTCTAAATACAAATATTCCTTACACATTCATATTCTCGTCATGGTCTCTTCAAGTGATTTGTATCCCATTGAGTTCTACTTTGTATGAAACTTGAGCTGCTGATTTTAGTTTGTCTACGAAATGATACGCTCAAACGATTGACATAGCGTCATCTTGATTTAAGGTTGCGAGTTGTGTGGTAGTCCAAAAAACCTTTTTCAACCTCCAACTCTCCTTCCTCATCTTCAAATTCCATCTTAAATTATTTTTCATCTTAAACCTGATAAATGATCTTCCCAAAACACTAAGAGTACCCGTGTGAACACATAATAAATAAAATCTTGGCAACATAATGTCAAATTATGCTAGGAATGTGTTCAAAAGAGTTTCTTCCACTGTTCCACACATTAAATTAAAGTGTACAAACTTATCAATGAAACTAATGGACCAACCAACCTGATAAGAAATTAAATAATCTCAAACCAATTTTCGTTAACTGAACTATGATTTGGGTCGGGTCTGGCCCATGCTCGAGTATAATAGTGTTGGACACGACCCAAGCACTATCCCAACAACTTGCATTCTCCCTTATTCATGCCTACACGTCATAACACTAATAAAGTCTCTTAACACTTTATCCAAACTTTGTATGATGAGAAGATATAATTCTTTCCCATGATACAAGTTTGTTTCATATGTAGTATATACCATATTTCGTACTCCCTCCGTCCCAAAATGATAGTCTTGTATTTCCTTTTTGGGATGTTCCAAAATGATGGTCCTGTTTCCCTTTTTGGAAAGAAAGATGTGGTCCATATCATTTCACTTTATTATACTCAAATCTCAACCACAACTTTTACTTTTTTAACCACTTTATTAAAACTTGTGCCCAAAAGAAACGAGACTATCAAATGGGGACGGAGGGAGTAATATATTCGTGTTGTTCAAATTCTATCAATAGTGATAGTTAATATAACTTCACTTTTAATATTGATCGAGCATGTCTTTCTTTCATTCCTCATGTCATACAGATAGTGGGATAGATTGAAGTACTATTAAATAACTCGTTTCCCAGAAAAACAATTTCTATAGGGTAGAAGAAATGATACTAGTGGTCATGGTAGAAAGTCATGGTAGACAAATTACAGAAAAGAAAGAATAGATACCGTTAACAGTAAAAAGAAATTCTGAAAAGACAAAAAGAGATTAGGTTTAGGAAGACGAGTTCGCACTGATTAAGGGAGGGTTATTGATTTAGTCATCATGATTTGGAAGGAATATGACGGTAACCCCAAGGTCAAGTGTTATACAAAGTAAAGTATTGTAATTGCACTTTTTTTACCGAGTTAGCTAGATTTTTAAGTCTAGATGGACGAATATTACCCGGAAAAGGACTAAAACAGTTTGAAAATTTCAAAATAGGACTGCCATGTTTTTATTCCCAAAATAGAACTAATTACTGTCATGTTTTGGCAGTACTAGACTTCAAACATGGCAGTATTTTCTAAACATGTCAGTAATTAGCCCTATTTCGGGAATAAAAAACATGAGAGTCCTATTTTGGAATTTTGAAACTGTTTTAGTCCTATTTCGGGAACATTCCTGATTCCTTTTATACACTAATAACTTTTCCGTATGATCAATAGCTAGGAATTTTTCATTTATCAATATAATATTTTCTATCAAAAATGTTTTTTCAATAAGTACTAATTCTTGTTTTTACTTCTTTCACTTGTATTTAAAAATGTTAAAAGTAGTTGTCCCACACCGGAAAGCTATAAAACAATACTCCGTAAAATACTATATAAGGCTTTGGGCTACCCCTCTTATCAGTTTGACTTTTTAGGATGAATTCTCGAGTCTTAACATGATATCAGAGCCAGGTACGGTTATAGTTTGACTTCTTGTTTAGTATTCTTGATTAAGAGTAACTTCTTAAAGGTCTGTGTGCCACTTATACACACCGATATTGTTCAGGCCGATTTGGGCTGAGGGGCCATGTTAAAATATATGTCATTTTATCTATTGATAAAATTGTAATCAAGAAAGTTATAAAACAAATTTTCTCATTTTATAAGTATATTTACTATCTAAATTTCATTTCAGCTATTATGTTTGCTTTCTCATAACTTATTGAAGTGATCATTAGTACTAGTTTTTGACTTATTACCTCTAAACTATAAGTATATTTACTACCTTAATTTCATTTAAACTATTTTGTTTGTTTTCTCATACCTTTCTAAAAATAGTTACCACCGTCACATTTCAAAAAATGACTACATTTATCTATTGATAAAATTGTAATCAAGAAGATGTTAAAATCATAAAATTGTGAATGTTTCTACTAGTTTAATTAGGATATAATTTTTTCTTAATGAACACGTTTATTTTTATTTACTTATTTAGGATATCGAATTTTATTATTTTTAATATAGGACACTAGTCGATAGTTACATTTTTGTAAACAATCTTTAAAGTCTTAAATATGTAATTTTTGTAATTTTTTTATAATCCAGGTGTCGGGGCTTACGCTCCCATAATCCTGAAGTCTATGAACTACCCTCCAAAGCCCCTAGACAGTTAAATCCGGATCTGATCACAGTCAACCTCGTCAATACTGGCTCCAAAGGACGAATCCAACATGACTTACATCACCTTTCAGGCTGCTCCTCCCACCACTGAGCAACTCCGTGAAGGTAGGAAGAATCATTGGGAGCAAGACCTCCCTCATCTCCCCTTGGTGGGAATTGAACCCAAGACCTCCCACAAAGGAGAGACTTGAGGGTGGATGGTCATCCATTGGACTACACCCACCTTCCCAATTGTTTTTTTGTAATTATTTTATTTTAAATAGTAATGTGTATTTCATTCTTTGTAAAAAGTTTGTATGAACATGTAAAAGTGAATTATTTTTTCATGAGAAATTTGCTCCTAGTAGGACCAAATAATAGCTCTTTTACAAAAACAATACCTACTAATGTTTTATTCCATTCATATTACCTATTTAGTTCAAGATTAGAAAACCTATTTCTAACTTTCCAAATTTGCCCTTCAAAGAGTTCAAACGGGTAGCTGAAGAAAAGGAACGCTGCCGCCGCCACAGGCTTGCTAGTCATACTGTCGACAAGGCAGCAGATGGTGCTTTCGAAGCTGCGGCAGCGGCCACGGTTGACGGAAGCAGCGGCTCTGATTTTGGAATTGTGGATCTGGAATCGTACCTCCATCTCTCTTCTTCGTCGCACCTCCATCTTCGCCGGAATCGTCGCACCTCCGTCTTCGCCGAAATCGCTGCAATTAGGGCGGCGGCGCACCAGGCCCTTCTTATTCTCCCCTTCTCCTTGCGGGTGGGAGCATTAGACTGATTGCTTTCCAGAATTTATTGTTTATTTTTTGTCTACTTATTGTCTATTTAATGTCTATTTAATGTCTGTTATTTTCTAAAAGTAAAGGTATTGTGATAAATGCAGGTGTAATTGAGTCTTACGCTATTACAAATACGTTTTGCTCATACTCGTTGAAATTGCGGGGGGGGGGGGGGGGGGGGGGGGAGCATACAAATACGGAGTAGTTGAAAATGTATAGACACGTTATACTATCGTACTAATTATTAATCTCCGGCAAACTCCAAGTCAATCTAATTATTTCTTCAGCTACCACTAATCATCATCATCATTTCATCTCATGTATGTTTATCCTTGATTACTATTTATATAAATTAATTTTGGTTCTTGCCAAGTTTTATAGCTATACCCATAACTAGAAAATAAAAAATATGCCAATGGAGCGTTCAAACTCGTCGTCGGGCAGTTCATCAAACTCTTCACCGTCCGCCGCCGCCTCACGGCGGCTGCGATGCTCCTCCGCCTCCGTCGTATCCATACAGTGCTTGAAGGGCAGCTCCAAAGGCGACGAATGGACCGGTGGCATGTTGCAGACCGGAGATATCGTGGAGGAGCTCCAGTTAGGAACGACGATCCATAAGGCGCCGTTCAAGAACGGCGGTGCCGGCCTCCAGAAGCTCTTCCACCAAGCCTACAAGATCAGTAGCACCTCCGTCCACGTCAGAGTCCGGCGGGGCTCCGACAAGTTCGCCGAGCTGCATGCGTGCCTCGTCCCGAACCAGGCCGCCGGCCGGAAACAGTACATGCTGAGGTCCATCGACGATCCCAACTACGCCGTCGGGTTCACCGATCGGTTCGAGGACGAGTGCTTGGATTTGCAAGGTTGGTTTTCATTTTTCACTTTCTAGCTTCTGCTGGTTTGACTATTCCCATGGACGGTGACTATATTTTTTTTTTTTTTGAAAAACTAGAATTTGTTAATACATCTAGAAAATTTTCTCTCTTTTTTCCTTCCCTTTGTTTGCATTTTGGGAGGCATGATGAAAAATAGCTGATAATAGCAATAACTTAAAAATGGGAAAATAATTAACGTAAGTTCACAAATAATATGGAAAATAACAAAATGATATCAACCATTTTATTCCTAAACCAATACATTGTAAAAAAATAGTTTTTAATAATATCAAGTTATCAGGGCCGTAGATGAGGGCGTGCAAGAAGTGCTACCGCACAAGGCCTCTCGACTCAGAAGGCCCATCATTTTAAATAGTCTACATAATATACAAAATCCTTATTTAATTCATTAAAGATTCCTATCTTAATATTTTTTAAAATTAAAATATTGAATAGTGATATTTATATGTAATTAGAATGCAATTGTTGATTACAATTGTGCAATTTCTTTATTACAGTAAAGCCCTCGTACAGTTTGGGATGAATTTGAATACTACTTTCTCTTTCATACTTTATCATTAGTTTACTCATCTTAATATATTCTTTTTCCTACTTTTTTTAATTTACTTTACACCTCTATGTTACCCCTACTATTTTCTTCTTAAAAACTATAAAAAACCTAAAGAGACTACGGAGTATTATTTAAAAACAATGAGAGTACTAATATTGTGTTTTATAATTCGGGGCCTCATATTCAATTTTGAACGGGGTCTTTTATATATCAGGGCCGGCCCTGCAAGTTATGAACTACTCCGTAATTGAAAATAATGACAAATATATGACTAAAGTGAAGGTACAAATTAAAAATATGATTTTAAATTCTTTACTTCGCAGATCCCGATCGATCGAGCGATTGATCTCCCATATATACAAACACTATATATGGTGAGTTTATTGAGTATTTTGGTGAAGATTAATTAAACCCAAGTTTTGCATACATAAGGGAATTGCGTCATAAATAATACGTTGTAAATGTTTAGTGATAATGTAACCGTTGGAGCAAAAAAAATGGCAATTGCCCTATTCTGGTGGAGGTTTTGGTGATTGTTGGAGATGACCTTAAAAGTTCAATCCTAAAATTCAATCTAATAGCATATGGAAATATTCTAATATCTTAATATTGTAGTTAATTAGTTCATTAAGAGTATTTTATTAGTGTAAGAAATATTTTAACAAATATATGCTTGCCAATATGTTTAATCCATAATGGTAAAAGACATTACTTTGAGTTTGAGCCACAGTAAAAAAAATACTGTATGTTAAGTAGTCTTTTTCTTTGTTGATATATTCTTTTTCCTTTTTTTATTTTCTTTTTTTCTTTTTGACTTTGCTTTTGTTTTTTGACATTTGGGGATTGCAAATTTAGGAAAACAATGAACGGAAAAAGATACCTGCATAGATTAACTCAATGAGACCACCGGTTCATATGGAGGATATATGGTCTGCTTGACTCGAAAATGCATGGTCTACTTGACCAAATACTCTCTCAATCCCGAAAAAGTCCGCTAAATTGATTTTTCTTGATCAATGATAATCAACTTTGACTAATAATATTTTTTAATACGTAATTAATTTGAATAAGAAAATTATATCAAAATGTTCCTTATTCAAAATATTTTCATAAAAGTATAAAATTTACAAATTATATACAAATACAATAACTTGTCCAAAGTTCGTCATCATTGATCAAGAAAAGTCAATATGGCGAACATTTTGATAACGGAGGTAGTATCTTTCATGGCAATTTATATCATGGGATCGGCGCACCATGAGGATGGTGCGCCCGATCCCAAAACGACACCGCATTCATTATTTTTTATTTCTTTTATTGTTAAAAATTGTAATAACTTTTTTATTTGATATCCGATTTTTATAAATTTTATATCAATTTTTTTTTATTTTTCAAGATCTATCAAATGAGACTAATATTGCTTATGTAATTTTAACAAATTATTTGAAGTTACATCTTCTTCTGTGCGAGTTACATCTTATTGTACGCAAGTTACATCTTAATATACGCGAGTTACATCTTAATGTATGTGAGTTACATCTTATTGTACGTGAGTTACATCTTAATATACGCGAGTTACATCTTAATGTATGTGAGTTACACCATGAAATAAACCCCTGCTACATCTTTCATTTTTATCATTTGAAAAATAATGTATGAATATGGAATACAATATACTTATTTTATGTGGATTAATAAAATTTTGTATTAAATTGGCAAAGAAAAAAATTAATTCAGTTATAATTGAATTAGTTCAAGATAAAGATAACTAAAAAATCACAAATAATTAGATATAACTCATACATAATTACATGTAACTCACGTATAAAAGTATGTAACTCGTGTATAACAAGATGTAACTCACACATAATTACATGTAACTCGCGCATAAAAGTATGTAACTCGTGTATAGCAAGATGTAACTCACACATAACAAGATGTAACTCACATATAATATAATAACTTGTAACTAGAGTATAAGATGATGTAACTTCGTATATTATCCGATGTAACTCCAAGTTAGAAGCAAAATAAACAAACTCAATATCTTAAAAACCTCTAAAAACATATAAAAGTGATAAAAAAATATATTATAGAAAAAGTGTATGCATATAAAAATATATTACAAAAAAATGTATGAATGTAAAGAATTACATAGGCAATATTGGTCTCATTTGAAAGATCATGAAAAATAAAAAATTTTGATATAAATTTTATAAAAATCGGATCAAAAATAAAAAAATTATTAACAATTTTAAGAAAAGGAAAAATAAAAAATAACAAAGGGTGCATGGTGCGGTCTCGAGTTCGAAACCTACTAAGCACACAGAGGTTTGAAACTCAATGAAGTGAGTTTCAACCCTGATTACTCCAGGCCCCCAACCCCTACTCCGAGCTCTGGAGTAATAAAAAAAGGAATTTTATCAATTCAGGACTCGAAAGATAGATTAACTATCAATTCAGGACCCGAAAGATGAAACGTATCAGTATAGGATCCGAATGATGGAAAATTATCAATTTAGGACCTAACGTTTCATAGGTTTTGATTTATTTAATTTTTTATTAATTCCATTACTAATTTTTGATAAACTTTTCTTCACAAAAGTTTATTAGTTTAATAAAACGAAATAATATTTAAATTTTTTTAATAAAAAAAATTATGACAACTTAGGTCCTAGATTAATAGTTTTAAATCATTCAGGTCCTAAATTGATAGTTTTTCATCATTCGGATCTTATATCGATGTATTTTATTTTTCAGGTCCCGAATTGATAATTAATCTATCTTTCGGATCCTTGATAAAATTCCTAAAAAAAATCATAACTAAAACAGTAAAACTACTCCGATCATCTTCTCAATATATTATGACCTTATTAATTTCTTCCATAACAATACTTATTAAAAATATGTGAGCAGTACTACTTTTATTAAATACGGAGTATATAATTTATATAGACTAATTAATATAGGGTCATGCTATGGTGCCTTTGAAAATTTGGAAGGTATGGTGCATCTCATTGTGTGGGCAAATGAAATAGTGACACATGGAAATAGTGGGACATGGAATAGTGTCATTAATGAATTGACTTGAAATGCTATTGGGTGAGAAAGGCAAATGTATGGTACACTCCAAATTTGAAGAGGTACCATAGAAATCTCCATTAATATAACCTTGAATTATTATCATCAAAACCTAAGTATCCTCCTTCATTCTATTGATTATCTCATCATCTCTCTGAACTTGTACCATCGAAGTTGTATACGGGCTCGCTCTGCGATGATCGGAGGAGGAGGCAGATTCGTTCAGCACGAAGCAGGTTCGTCGGTGGCACTGGTACGATATTGGTGGGCGGCCTCAATGGCCGGCACATACAATCCATAGGGGTGGAGGGAGCAGCCGTTCTTCTCCTCTTCTTCATATTATTCATGTTCTTCTGCATCTTCTCTTAGAAATTAGGGTTGGTGGGTCAAGACAATGAAATTTTTAGTTTTAAATCGATCAACATCGTCGGAGAAGATGAAGAATCCGATTAGGGTTTTAGCCCCATGTTCTTGCCGGTGCTGATTGTGGCAAACCAGTGTTCACCCTGAAAAGTTGGTACTGGAATTAAGTTATCCACCCTCTTTGGCCATAATCTCCTGCGACTGGACTTATGGAGAGAATTGATGCATTGAAGGAGGGCGGTGTAAATCGAATGCAATAGATAGTGCCACAATGTACATGCTCTTGCAATTCTCTTTTTTCTTAATGATACTCCCTCCGTCCCAATTTGTAAGATAATTTACGAGTTCGATGTTTGATCGACAACAAAGTAAATTGATCTCTGTCAACACTCAAATTAGTTTTTTTTGGAAGCAGATCTCTTATATTAATAAGAGAGAACGTAAGCAGGATACACTCAAATTAGTTTTAAAAAATAAAATTTACATATTCAGAAACTACATTAAAACCGCTACAAGACCTACAAAAAATAATTCAAATTTCATAAACTTTTGATATATAAAGTAAAAGATTAAGAGTGATTTATGTTGACAAAGTGAATAGTAAATGTATCTTACAATTTAGGACTGAGAGAGTATTGAATAGTAGTGCTGGCATGAAGGACAGTGATTCCGACAAGAGGTGCAATGACGCTGAGTAGTAACACCATTATGAAGTGCAGGGGCATCGAGAAATCTAGTTTATATTTAATTGAACGAAATTATTGCAAAATACACGTTGTCTTTATAAGGGTATTTTCGCCCTTTAACCCTCTCTAATATGACGGGTTTTTTTTCTTGTGCTTTTTGGTTATAGGAATGGCTAAAAACAAATGTAGTCATATTTTGGAAAATTGGTTGTGTTTTACTCATATTTTAGAAATTTTCCCAATTCTTTGTCCATCGTAAATCTCGAATGCTTTTTATACAAAATTTTATGCATGCTTCTAGCAAGTAAACTGAGGTTTTTATTAAATTTGGTGTACGACATAGCTAGCCCCTCTAATTACTTTCAATTGCAACTGAGACTCACTCCGTATACGGTATACCGTATTATAAATAACTTGTAACCGCACCAATATAATATAAATATAATATAAATATACAAATCAATAAATCAGATCTTAGATTTTTGGGTACATTTGAGTTTGATTTTTTGTGACTCAATAATTTAGTTCTTAGTGTAGTTTCTATTAATAAAAATCTTAAATTAGTCAAGAAAGATTTAACTTAGCTTTATCGTCGTAATATCAAATTTGGAAATTTGATACTTCAAACATAATATAAAGTGCAAATTAACTGCATCCTCAATAAGAGAACTTAATTTGAGAAGATATATTATGGATGTTTTTACTTGGGCTGTAATTTGCTGGTCTGGGCTGGTCTGAACTGGTCTGATTTCTTTGTATTTTTAAAACTATCCAAGTCTGGTCTGGTCTGAACTGGTCTGATCGGGGAGAAATTACAGTTCAAGTAAAAAAATCCCATATCTCTATGTGTATGTGCACTTTAGTTTGATAAAAAACATGTCATGACTACTATTGAATTATTAATGCATGTGTGCAGTTTCAAGAACGGCAAGAATGATGGATGCGTTGAGAGCAACACCGATACAGAATGGATACGTATCGTATCAATGGCCGAGGAGAGCGGCGGAGATGGCGGGAGTGCCCAACTCCCGCACCTCTTACTCCATGCTCTTCTTGCCCATAGCCTCCCACAAATCCACTCTCGGATACAGTGATATCGATGACACCATTGCTAGAGCCAATACCTGGCTCGGCGCTTCTCAAGCTTCCGGCGTCCCCATCATCCTCATCAATATCCAGACTGAATCCCTCCTCACTAAGGTACCTATACATAGAGTTATTACACTAAACATAGGTGCTTCCTTCCTTGGTTGTATACTTTGTCATTCTAGTTAGTATATAGTCCAGGCCATACTATTATACTATATACTCTTTCTATCCTATTGGACTTTGCCTTTACAATTGCAGTACTCCTTATTTCTCTTTTCTACACAAATTTCAAGTATACAATTTTTATTTTTCTTATTTCACACGCAAATCAAAGAAAGCACTGTCCAATGGGACTGAAGGAGTACTATATAGAAAATAAACTTGGCACATCAATATATAAGCCAATAATTTGTGTTTAAATTAGTATTAATTATTATTGTGTGTAGATATCTGGAGAGATGGCTTCTTGTAGTGTACAAACAGGGTCGCTGATTTCTGATTTGTCAAATATTGCGAATGCAAGCTTGTACGGGTTTGAAGATTACCATGGAGTAGATATCGGTGTTGTAAGAGCTGTTAGGCTATGGTTTTCCCCTCTTACAACAGAATTTCCCATCGAAATTAAAATCAAAGATAATGACACCAAATTGGGATTTTCTATCAGTCGAACACATGAGGTTCGTCCATCATCACCATCTAAAAAATTATTAGTACATGCTACGAGTTTTGAATTACAGACACACATATAGAGTTAATTCCACTTTTGATCCTACGAGTTTTTTGTTATTTTTATAATCCACATCTTTCACTTTGTATACTCTTGGTAATTGATTATTATTTCTTGACTATTTGTGGTCCTCCGGCTTTTTAACCATCAGAAATATTGTTAAAAAGGTCATATATGAACAAAATCAAAGAACGTAGAGTACTTGTGGAATCTATGTTATACTCATAGGACAAAAAAAATTATATATAGAATAACATATGTTGTTACTATCAGCCCTTAATTGAATTTGCACAACTAATTGAATGTAGGGATTTATATACATATCATCGGTTCTAGAAGGGGATGAATATGCATCATCCGCGCAATCTGGTCTTGGAGACCTGTTCATGGAAGCAAGTAGAAGGAAGAAGCTTCTGGTAGTTTCCAAAATCTCGCATCAGAAGGTTCTCCCCTGGCTGGTTTCCCCGACCGGCGCCATCCGATGCTACGACACCGTATCAGTCAGCCAGAAGCTATCTTTGCATCGCCATGCAAAGATGCCCATCCTCATTCACGTTTTCCTTTGGGACCGCCTGGTTGGCGTTCCCAAATGTCGCAGTGTTACTTCAGGCCGGTCCCTTGAGGAATTGATATGGTGCGTATGAAGAGGCCGGCCCGCTAAGGTCTCCAAGATCCAATCAGATAAGAGACCCGACCCATTCTTAAAACAAATAGGCTTTGATTTCTTTGTGTGTATTTATTAAGTTATAGTGTGCGCGCCTTGTTGGGCCTGAGGGTTTTATTCTTCTACCAGAATTTCCTAGTATATACGTAGTATAGTATACTGTATTGCTTACTTGTGAATGAGGTTGAACATTTGAACACCTAGTATAATTAGGGCCCATTTGGTAACTTTGAAGTCGGCTGAAACTGTTCAAATTTATGAATTTATAGTTGATGTGGTTGAATTAGATGAATCTGCCGAAATTATCTTTTACAATGACTTCAACCAGAAATGTAATTTCAACCTTATTTATTTTGATTATTACATAATTCAACTCACGAGATCAAAAATTAAGTGTTTGGTAAAACAAGTTGAATGATGAAGCCTGAAGGTGATAAATGAAAATTTGAAAATAGAGGTTACCAATCCGGCTCTTAATCCTAACTAGGTTTTCGCTCGTTGTTATGTGATTTAGTCATATATCTAATTATTGTGTCTTATTCTGTTTAAGCCTTTTATCTCTTTAAAAAGATCATATAGCTTTTTAAAACTCATATTTAGACTTCATTTATCAAATATTAAAGGATAGTGTGTATTACAGTGAAATTAAAAAACAACCCCGAGTTGACTCCAAACAGTAGTAGTCTTTGATTTGGATCATAGTTAGCTTTTTTGTGTTTAAAACGCGTTTTAAACACGTACCATTTTTTGAACAAAAAAACGCGTTTAAAACAAATAATAATGTCGGTCCGTTTAAAAAGGAAAAAAACTTTCACTTCCTGTATAAAACGTATATTTCCCGTATTTTACAAAAAATAGAAACATCATTTGATCACTTGAATGAATACATAATGAATAGTAAATCAACAATAGTTTAAAATTAAACCAAAAAAAAAACACTCATCCCCGTGACCCCGAGTTTTGGTATTGTTACAATACAAAATATACAATTGTTAAATACTAAAATTAATTGTATGATGACTAAAGCTAGCATCCTAAAAGACTAAAATCTAAAATACGACTACGTTTGTGATGTTCCTTTCAAAATTAAGGTTTTTCAAACAAGCATATCAAAATTAAGGTTTTTCTAAATCTGACATTTTTTAGTATAAACTTTTACACATAAATAATAATAATTGCAACAGTCGCACAATTTTCTCATGTCATCCGTCATCTAGGTGAAAATGATGAGTTTAACTTGAGTGTTATTTGATGATCATATAAAGATGATGATGATGATAATGTTAACTTGGCCTCATTCAATCGTTATTATGCCTAATTTTCTGATATACTTTGCAAAATCATGTCTTGAACTTATTTACTCCGTACTACTTTTACTTTTGTCATCGACTTATGCAATTACGAATTATTCTTTTATGTAGTAATGTGATTTGCTACTCAATATGTGTACACTCTTATTTCTTTTTATTATATGTTATTTTATGAAGTATATACTTTAAATGTTATTTTGGACTTGATCATTATTTTTTTGTCATGAGGTTATGCTATTATGAATGCATTTTTTGATGGAGTAATGAGATATTATATTTGAATGTGTGTGTGTTGATTATCCTTTATGTCGTATATGCTTTTTATGCTCTAAAAATTAGTACAATAATTTAATCATTCCAAATAAGACCCGTATTTTTAACCCAAATTTTTCTAAGAGATGTTGTGTTATACACATATACGTATTTACACGTTTTATAAAAGTCAACGTATTTTTTGCCGAATTTTTGACCATTTTTTTGTTCAAGTTACCGAATAAAACACGTTCGTATTAAATCACGTTTAATTCCCGTACCGTATTTAATTAACTATGATTTGGACCATATATTGCTGGATTTTTATCCGTTTAGGATTTCTTCATCACATTACAAATATTACGGGATGGATACTTCTTGCACTGAAATTCAACAGCAAAAGTCTATTTATTCCAAATAATCTCTATTTACTCCAATCAGTTGAGATCATATTGGAAGGATTCATATCAAATCAGGGGGGAAATTAGTCAAATTATCTTATCAATTTGATCTTTACCTAATCTTTGTAATATCTTTATCTTATCTTTCTTATCTTTTATTTCATGCCTCCATTCATGTTAATTAATTCACCTAAAACTCTTCTGGGACTAGGTTTGGGTACAATTTTTGTTGTTGATAAAATTATCATGATTCAATTACGATTCTTATAGGCTACAGTCAGGGCCGTCGTCAGGCCTATGTACTGGGCTGAACCGCTACAAAGATTTTTTTCTGATAAATTTTCATACAAAAAAATTTCACACTAATAATTGATGTTTTTTTTGGAATGGCCTGGGGCCTAGTATGGCCTCCTATCTCTGCCCCCCTACTTCTCTTTAGAAGTATATTCTCTTTAGAAGATATATGGTTGATTGGTTGTTGTGGTAAAAGTTAGTCTTGATAAAATTATCAACACAATAATTTATTGAACTGCAATATGGTCAAAGTATATTCGCACATATGAACAAAAGGAATGTTAAAGAAAAAGTGCAAAAAGAGATTCAAATCTTCAACCCATATGTTGTCTGTAGATGAATGGAATGGGCAAGATAGGATGGGTTCTTAAAAGCTGGTTGGACACTTTGGATAAGGTTGAAATAAAGGTTAGAGGTAATAATGATAAAAGAGGCGCTAACAGTACCTAGGGGTGGACCGGTCGTAACAGGAACCGGCGGGTTCCTGAGACTGAGCCGGTACCGTTTAGGCAGTTCGGTTAGGACTTGGGAGACCTGCCCTGAGGGCGGTTCAAGGGTGCCGGTCCCAGAATGTGTCTTTTAAGACGGGAACTGGCCAGTCCGGTACCAATTCAGTTATTTTTGTAATATTTTTTAAAAGAGCTGTAAATCCATTTATGAACTAATGAAAGAGGCATAAATCCATTTATAAGCTAAAAAGAGTTTTAAAATGTTTTAAAAATTAAAAACCAGTACTGGCCAGGGGGGCGGAACCGGAATAACCAGTGGCGGTCTAGGTTCAACAAGCCCCAAACCCCAAGACCGCCCAGTCGAGGACCGGTCCATGCCTAAGAGTAGTACAGTACCTAGGGAAGATAAGCAAATAGGCCCCCAACACTAAACCTTCTTTGTTGAAGGAAATTAACCCTCATCCTGACTAATGGGATTCTGGTTCTGGTTCCGATTCGAGAATTGTGTTAACCCCTACTCGGCTACTCCTAACAAGTATGGGAGCATACAAATGGGGACTACATAAAGTAAACAAACCTGAGATGATGATGAATTTAACACTTAAATGCGACACTGATGGAGCTTTTTGGCCTTTATCATCATTGAACTGGAGATGTTCTAATTGAATTCAATACCTCGTAATACAGCATCATAGACAAGAGCAAAGGTACAGAAACTTCCTGAGAGGAGGAAAACTACAATGATTTACATTTCTTTATCAATGATATCTCTCATCATTTGTATTGGGATGAGCCCTTCAGTTCTGATTGCATCTTTGCTTGGATCTGGGCTGATGAAGTACATTGTGGGTAGTCCTCGGACCTGTGAATAAATTTTTCAAGTCATATTATTAATCAATTCCAACCAATTACAATGGAGTGTCTTTCATCCTTCTTAGGAGAAGAGAAACAGATTAGGTATTATGATTACCTGCATATCATTTGCAAATTCGTATTCATCATCTGTGTCAACCTTCACAATGAGTGCTTTACTTTCGTACTCTACAGCAAGCTGTGGGTAAAACCAACATATGATGTCCAAAAAATACACGAATTTATCGAATATGACAGGATCATAGGATACTCCAATGTGCCCCTTGTTGCATTAAACAATAAATAGAGAGGGAAAAGGTATACTCCGTATTTGGTATTGATCTTTTAGAGTTGTAGGTAGCACAGAAATGTTTTTGTAGCAACCATTCTAACATTCTGCCCCATAATTCGTTATTTTTGTCCAATATGAGAATATTCGGAGGAGAGCGTTGGTGCACCGGTTAAGGTGTTGCTGTGTGGCTGAGATGTCATGGGATTAGGTTGGGAGCAGTCTCTTGTCAAAAATTTGACAGTAGAAGGCTTTCCCCTTATACACCCTTGTGGTGGGACACTAGAACCTTTTCCAGGACCTTCCCCTTGTGAGGATGTCTTCATGCACTGAGCTACCCTTTATGAAAATATTGGGTCGAAAAAAACAAAAAACGTGTGGTGGTGTGGATCAAGGGTTCCCTAATTTATTTATTTAGGGTCAAATGGTGCTTAGATGGACATTCAAAATTTAAGCCTGCGGTAATTTCTTCGAAACAAAAAAAAATAACTAAAAACTGTTTGCAAAGGACCAAATTCGGCAAGAATTTACAAATCACACTCTCATTAACTACTGGACTTTTTCTGACACTGCTTAAAAGAAACGGGAGACAATATGCCAATTCCCTGGTGAGAGAGCTGATTACATGAACACCCACTTTCCAATATTACCCGATTGTATCATTGTAAAGGATATTAGGGATCACAGAGAAACTAACAAAGCAAATGAACTACAAACTTTCCATCAACATCACATATTAATGATTTAATGTAAGAGAAAACTTCCTAAATAGGAGTAGAATATAGCACAATTCTAAAATAAGAGTATCATTGTTTTCATCCTACTATTTTTCAGAAGTTTTATTGTTTTATACTTTTATTATGAGAAATTACCCAAAATAGGCCTATAAACGTTTCTATATTCCAAAATAGGACTATCATGTTTTTATTCCCAAAATAGGACTAATTACTGCCATGTTTTGGCAGTAACAGATTTTAAACATGGCAGTATTTTCCAAACTTGGCAAAAATTACTCCTATTTTGGGAATAAAAAACATGACAGTCCTAATTTGGAATTTTCAAACTTTTTTACTCATATTTCGGGAATTTTCCCTTTTATTATTATCCTAAAAGGATGACACCCCATCCCTGAGGGCCCCCCAACCCCGACCGGACGGTACGTTGAGAGGATGTAAATTGGACTATAATTTCAATCTGACAGGTAGAGAGTGGGGCTCTATCTCCGGTACTTGCAGAGGCCCTATGCATTTTTAGCATAGTAATCCCTCATCGCAGATGCCGGGATTCGAACCCGGGACCTAACCCTTGTGGCACTACCTTGCTACCAGTTGAGCTACGCCCACCAGTCCCTTTTATTATTATCCTATTAAGGAAAAACATACTTAGGAAGTGTTCGCGCTTCTTTCTACTTCAAGAAGTGATTATTATTAGGAAAGTCAAAAGTGCTTCGTAACAAAAGTTGATAGTGTTTGAAGAAAATGTAATTTCGAAAAAGTAAAGTTGGTGTTGTTTGTTAAAAAAATACTTTTTTATTACTCCCACAGTCCCAAATTGTAAGATACATTTACTATTCACTTGGTCAACATAAATCACTCTTAATCTTTTACTTTATATATCAAAAGTATGAAATTTGAATTATTTTTTGCAGGTTTTGTAGCGGTTTTAATGTAGTTTCTGAATATGTAAATTTTATTTTTTAAAACTAATTTGAGTGTTGCCAGAGATCAATTTGCTTTATCGTCGGTCAAACATTGTAAACCGTAAAGTATCTTACAAATTGGGACGGAGGGAGTAATAAAAAGGACATCCTTCCACATTGCTTTCAGCTTCTAGCTTTAAAGCACTTAATTTAAGCAAAAATTGTAACTTGGAAACACCAATTTCAACTTTTTTAAGCAGATGGAAGGATGCAAACAACTGAAAAACACTTTAAATATTTTTCAAACACTTCCCTAGTCATATTTTTAAACTATATCCATATTTCACTCACCAAACTCTTTTAATGTATGTGATGAAACAAAAACAATCCAGATATTGTACTTGCAGACAGCAAATCTAATCCTTCTTACCATTTCAAGTTCCTGAGCCATAAGTATACAAGGGCCGCACCATGTGGCAAAGAAATCGATAATTAGGGGCACATTCCTTTCTCCCTTTATCAGCTCTTCAATTTCTTTGGCTGACAGCTTCTTCTGCATAAACCATGTCCATTAAAATGCACTTAATACCAACCAAAAACAAAAAAAAATACAATGCTATTTCTATACATACCACAAGGTAATCTTCACTGACGTATTTCCCCAACAGCGGTCTGCAAATTGATTTCCTCAACCTTGATAGTAATGGAGAATGTCCAATTGCAATAGAGCTCCAAGAATTCCGTTCAAGGGTCTTTGGGAGGAAAGAACTTCCGGGTTTTAAACATAATGGCGAAAGGGGACACAGAATTAGTGAAGCAGCGGACTGAACAGAGAGGCAGCTGACAGAAAGTTGCAGCATTGATTCAAGCTTCCTTACTGTGTAGTGTATACGAGACAAGACAAACATTAAAAAAAGATGATTGAGTAAAAGAGACGGAAGTGAGAAGGATAAAACTGAACTAAATAATTAGAGACACGTTAATTACACACACAATCACAAAGACCCTAAAATTCCAGAAATAAAGGCATCAAGCTAAACTAAATAAAATACATAACAAAAATAAAACTGAAAGTAAAATACATACTTGAAAATCGGAAGACCGCTGGCTCAGCGAGAAGGCAGGGGTGGAGGCCGGAGGGGGCAGCCGCGCAGGGAGGGACTCGGGAGCGGGCAGTATGGCACTGCGGTCTGCGGAGGGTTATAAAGAATTGCAGGGACGAATCGGCTGATTCCGAGCTTTCCGGCGAAGTGGCGAACGCCGACCGGCGTGAGTGGCAGCAGGTCTCTACTTGTCTGCTTCGCTGCTTCTCTGCTTCGTTGATTTACCGCTACAGGCCTGCCTTTGGTGCTTCGCTTGGGCCGTTTTCTTTTTTTAAATTCAGGGCCTCTGGACGAGGTGGTAATTACCCCATTGGCCGATTGATACAATTATGCTCCACATTTCATTTATATCCAGCCACATTTTACTTTTCATATTTAAACTTTCAACTTTTCAGATTTGTTTTTCTTTCAAAAAGAGTATAAGCCCTTCACCGAATCTAATTCAAAAATCGGCTCTACATCTGCCTTCGTTTCATTTTCTCAGAGCTTAGCTTCGCTCCATCTTTCATATTCATCGATCAATTCCTAATTGATCCCACAGCTTTGGTCCGTCTTTAAACCATTCCGTCATCGCTCTCTTTGTCCATCTCAATGTGCTTCTCCAATCCCTAATTTGATTGTGGAACAAATGACGACTTCGAACGGTTGCCTGCATCGTTTTCAACTACAAATTGTTCCATTTGCTCTTTGCATAACTTCAGAATGACCGATTATAATGAAGCGTTGATTCCATAGCCTTGATTTGATTGACGATTTTGTGTATGTAATAGAGCTGTGTATGGCAGAATGAACAACAATTATGCTGAAAAATTGGGGGTTCTTCTAATGAAAATAGATGGTATGATTCTCCAACCATATTGTATTCTATGCACTCTTATACCTTTCTCATAATTTTTGTTTTGATAAAAAAATCATTATCCTCAGGGACGGATCCAGAATTTCTAGTCAAGGGGGCGAATTTTTTCCCGTTAGTATAGGGGGTGAAAAAATAGTGTCAATATAGATAGAGCAGGACTTTAAGAACATGTGAATGTTTATTTTTCTTATAAAAAATTATAATTAAAGTTAAGGAATTTCGTCATCTTTATACGAGTGTAACACAACAAAGAAATTAATAAATGAAACGGTTAGAAAGATTATATTTAAGTATTTGATAAGTTACGTACATTCAAGAACACTATCTATATACCTAAACTGATCAAACGAAAAAGTAGTATCATCGTTACTTGCAATAAAAAAATGAAGTAGGCAAAGACATGAATGTTACGGAGTATATGATATATGGAGTAATGTTTTTATATTTCAAATCACATTTTCACTAGACTAAAATAAACTACAAATTTCTAAATTCTTTATACTATAATTTAATACTTCACTTAAATGAAAGAATAAAAGAAAACTAGTAAATTGCTATGAATGAATCATGGGTTTACATGAGAGAAGTAGATGAAAAGATTAACATTTATGCACTAACACTTTATGAATGAGTAGAATTGTGCAGTCTGTTCCCAATAAATTTTGGTGTAGATGTTCCAAAATTTTAGACTTATAGCATTTAGATATTGTTGAATAATTAATGAATTGGAAGTATACAAATTATAATTTTTATTTTACTTTTAAATTTTTATAGATATATAACGTATATATAATTTATATTTATGTATAACTGGTAAATTTATGGGCCCGGGGCGCATGTCCCCTTGTCCATGCCCCAGAACCGGCCCTGCCAGGGGGATACTTAATGCAACTAATTGAGTTTACTGAGTTACTGGTAACCAGAAAAATGATTGCAGTTTACTAGATCTAGAATGTTTACTTCTTTTACTATTTAACCCTTTAAATATTAATGGAATGTTCTTTAGTTTAATTTCTCTTACTACACAGTATTTTACTTACCTTTTTGTGCAATACTCCCCTTTCCCAACAAAGATAGTCTACTATCTTTATGTATACAATTTAAGAACCAATAGTTAGTATAGTAAAAATGTTAATGCATTTTGCATTATTATTTTTATATATTTGGATAATACAATTTAAGATAATGCATTTGGATAATACTGGGATATATTAATTAGGGGTTTGTGTGGAAATGGATTATTTTTGGAATAGAAAAATGGAATACTAGAATGAATATCTGTGGGACATAAGAAACGGAGTAATTTATGGTAATACACATGGATATATTGACGGAGCACTTGTCTACGTTTTTATGCCAAGCACTAATAATAGAAGTATGTGATAGCAAAGAAATTGCAGAGTTGAGACCTAAGGTAACAGTTTCTTATATTGCCTCATCTTGATGCAACTAATTGAGCTTACTGGTAGCAAGAGTCAAATGGGTGCAGGGGAATACTTGAAGGTTTATACTAGTAAACTTGGGTACCTAGTGTCCTCTCTATCACCATCCAGAGTATATCTTGGGTTAGGATTGCAGACAAGACAGTGACATGATGTAAAGCCAAACAATATAATAGATAAATGCAACACATTGAATAATACATCAAGTTATATATTGCGTGTCAAGTGGTGATACTTGTATATGTTTCTTTTGGTCATATTCTTTGTGTTGCTTTTTGTTTCATCATGTTGCATTTTATTGCATCATGTTTCATTTTGTTGTACCCTGTTTTTTATTGTTTTTTCCTGTTAATTCTGATTTTTTTCATTTAGGTTTTTATTTATATGTTTCTTTTGTTTCTTTTTGTTTCTTTTGGTCGTATTCTTTATGTTGCTTTTTGTTGCATCATGTTGCATTTTGTTGCATCATGTTACATTTTGTTTCATCATGTTTCATAAATGCACACACATGCCTAAAGTACTAAATGTGGATTTATGAATATCATCAAAAACAAGAAACATGGAAAAACAATAAAGAAACAAAACTTTCAAAGTTATCAACAAAAAGAAATCAAAAGCAACAATAAAGATAATAATAATAATAATAATTAAATTTTGCCTATATTTTAAAAATTAAAAATTCAAATTTTTAATTGTTTCAATTTTTACATATTCATACATGTTCAATCTTTAATTTTAACAATTTTTTGGTTATATAAATTGTATGCGCTTTATAGTTTATACACTAGAAATATGGTACTTTTTTAAAATTCTGTGAGTATTTTCAATTTTTAGTTTACTATATACAGTTTTAATTTGATTTTTTAAATGTCCAAATTTTATGTATTTATTTTGTTCTGTCTGATGTATATTATGATTTCAAAATATTTACTCTTTCATACAAATTTTAAATGATCTTTTTTAAATTTGATTCAATGTTGTTACTGCTAATACAAATTTATGATATTTATTATTTGAAACAAATATTCAAGTTTTTACATAAATTAAATACATATTATTTTCAACTTTGATAAAAAAAATTATCAATTTTTTATTTTTCAATTTTATACTTAATTTTTGAGTTCATAATTTTTTTCAGTTTTAGTCTTTTTAGTTCTTACATAGAAATCGATTAATTTATATGTTTAGTAATTTTAAAATGAATTTCATTCATATATTTTTTTTATTTGTAAAATTTATATAATCTATAATATTATTTTGAAATTTTGAATTGTGATGTTAAAAACTGTATAATATCTTCTTTTTTAATTTCAAGCTTTATTATCCTTCATTTTTTTGTAATTATTCTCATGTTCCAGACTTTTTTAATTGATTTTTTTATTTTTTCCCTATTTGAAAATAAACATCATGCAAACCGTGCACTTTGGATTAGTGGATTAGTTTTAGAATGTTACGTGCACCACGCCACCACCTGTACGAACAAGATATTCACGGAGTTTTATTCAGTGGGCCGCAAGTGTATTTCATGCGGCCGGTCCAGTTTTGAAAAGAAATATCTACTTTGTCTATTTTTGAAAAAAACTTTGAAGGGTGATAAAAGTGATATTATTTTTAGTTTTGATCTTGTTTGTGAAATTTTCCCCTTATTTATTCGGTAATTCTAAATAAAGCCTTCAAAATAATATTTGCAGCCTCTAATAAAAAAAACTGCAGCCTCCCATATCTTTGAAAATAAAATACTACATAGTAAAACTTTTTTTTTGGGAAGAATTTGGCTTAAATTGAAATCTCAACATTCAGACTATGGGTAATCCGACAAATAGAATCCTGACAACCGCTGTCCTGCGAACCAGACTCAGAGTTAATGACCTCACCAGAAGTAATATAACTCGTTGATCCATTAATGGGCGCACATGAGCCAAAAACGGTTACCCCAATTCCACAGTCACCCACATCCAAATTAAAAGTCTTACAATCATGAAAAACAACATCAATGCTAACTAAAAAACAAAGTGAACAGTCTGAGAAATAATAAAATCTAAAATAAAATAAGATAAACTTCCTCCCAATCCGCTTGCTCTGCAACTTCATCAAGCATCCAATCTTCCGCCTCTGGACCTCTCTAGGCGGGCTTACTACTCGAAGCCCGTCTCCTCCCCGTTTTTTGCCCAGCCAATGCCATACTTTCCTTCTCCTGCATCCCATTTCCTTGTGCTTCCCAGAGCCATCTGCGCTTCTGTTCTCCTGCTGCTTCATCCATAAACTCTTCCCTTGCTCCATTTGTAATACTCTGTTCTGAGTCCGCCCCCATGTCCTTCCTCCCACTCCTCATCCTATCTCTCTGACTAATTCCTTCCCCATACCTATGGTCCTTGCCAGAGCTCGATGAACCCTCCAGTAACCATTGGTTACCGGCCTCCTGTAGGACTCGTCTTCCCCCCATTATCTGCCCGAAGGTGAACTCCATACTTTTTCTCCATCACTAGATCTTCCTCATAGATCAAGTGACAGAATTTATCAGAATGTCCTATTAGTCCACAAATAAAATAGAAGTTTGGCAGCTTCTCATACTTGAAATCTACCCAATAACTTTTGCCCTCCTTTTTCAGGTTTGTACCCCTTTTCAGAACTTTCTCCACATTCATACAAACCCGAATTCTCATATATGCCATGCCTCCCACTTATCATTATTTTGATTATCATCATATTTTATAAACTTGTCTATCAAATTACCAATTTTCTAGCCGTACTTAAACTAACCAGACTATACGGCACATTATGAACCTGAACCCAAAAATATGCCTCATTCAGAACAATTTTGTGAGGGATATCACCTCTTTTAACAATAGTAATTTTTTCTCAAATTGCCACGGTCCACCTTCCAAAACCCTGTTCATATCTAAGAGATGGTAAAAAGTAAAAAGATACCTTTTCTCCCCAACTTCCTTTACTGACAGGCCTTTTCCGGGTCTCCAAAGCGATGC